GGGTCACCCCAGGCCTTGGTCTGTGGGTGGCAGGGAATTTTGCTACCAGTTCTCCAAACCACCTGCAGCCATTTTTACCAGATCGGGCAATCCGATCTAAACCGGCAGCATTTCACCCCTGGGCCAAGGCCTGCTTCCCATTCAGTCACCCAGGGATTTGCAGGACTCAGCCTTCTCCCCAGCCAGCTCCAGGGCCCAGCAATACCCAATTTACCTTTCTGTTTGTTCAGAGAGATACCAAGCCGATACGATATGAGGCTCAGCTTTCCTACAGAGGCTGCCTCAATAGCAAAACATGCTATTTTGCAAGCATATTCATATCCTATATTCAGGGCCCTGAAGAGGTGGGTTTTTTTAAGGAGACTTCACAAACTCCGCAAAGAAATGGAAGCTCCTTAAAAAGGAAGCCTCCTATAGAAAAATGCTGAATTTAGCCTACAGTTTTCTAGCATGCCTGAATGCCCTATGTGTGTGCGGGTGTAATTTTTATCTACAATTGTGCAGATGCTGTTAGTTAGATCCATCTAGAAAGGCTTGATTTTTGCATGGACAAATATTTGCAAGCTTCACTAGTTTCTAGTACTAATCCAAGGACATTGCAATAATCTATTTGATCAATATCCATGCATCTTAACCTCCATATTCCTCTTTATATACTTCTCTTAACTTTGCCAAGCATTGTGGGTTTTTTCCCAGTCCATTATCTGTTCCATCTCGGGCCGAAATTATGCAAATTTGGGTGCATCCACACACTGTATAAATCTACTGAATAATCAAGCCGAATATGAATGTAGCATCAAAGCCAAAAAGTCATATAGTATTACATTTCCTCTTGTGGTACAATATGGTATTTCCAAAGTAGTTATTTAAGACACAGAAGAGTCATGTTGAGGTTTGGCTGTAGCTTAGTTATAATTGTTTCAGTTTGTTTATATTCCTAGCATGGCAACTGGTTTACCCATGATCTCTTTTGTTCAATTTCAGCTCATATGGGAGAATTTAAAAAAAGATTCATGATGAATATCCAACAGACAAAGCTAACTAAAATGCCAATAGTCGGATGATACAACTTGCTGCAATCATTCAAAGTATTGTGAGGGACATTTAAAATAAAAATTTCATTAAATCTTAAATTTCCTAAATATTTAAATTTGTATTACTTGTTGTCTTAAATTCTTGAAGCATCAGATCATATCAGATTTAAATTTAAATTTTAATTCTGTTATTATAATCTCTATTTTTTTTATTCAAAGATCAACTTTAGTATGTTTTCTCCTTTCATCTAAACATATTTGTTGTTTTTACTAGACATTTCTTTTTATCTTGGCTTATGGTTTAATATATTGTATAAACCCAACAGAGAATGTCTTTGTCAACAATCCATGGTTAATCACATAAGGGCTTAATGGAATATGTGAACTCAATCACTCTTTATAGAACATGATTAATGTAGTTACTGCATTTACCCATTTTTTGGATTCTCACAATACACTAAATTTTAAAATTGCCTAATACACCCATTCCTCATTTAGCAACTACCTGAATACTTTTACCATTTACGCATATGAAGGTAATAAACAGTAATTAAAAATTAATTTTCCAGCCAATGAATATATTTATGACCAAAATTTCTGCCCCTGATGACAACACATGCCAGAAAGAGAATAATGCTGGCATAACTGAATGAGAGAAATTTACCCGAATGGAAAAGTAACCAGTGGTTTTTGCAGTGTGTTTCTCTTTCCATCACCTGCTTATTAATCCATTCATTTAACAACTTGTCACTAGAATGGAATTCAGTCGCTAAACATGGAATGGGTGTAGATTGGGTTTGTGCTAAGTACCAAGAAACACATACAAACCTGCATACACAAGCCATGTGAAAAGTAACAAAGCTTAACATGTACAAAAACTATCAGTAGACCTTGAACTATCCTAGTTAAACATGTCATGTGAATATAAGAGACTGCATATAAAATAATCACCATATCTAATTTGGTTACCATGCAAAGTACAAGAACTTGCAAAACAACATTTGCCCTCAAGACCATCCCTTCCAAACATATGAAAAACAGGTAAGGCAGAAGGATATATAACCTCTGCAAACCAATGCCTTACTACTCCAAACCTCCTGCACTGATCTTATCTAGAAAAGTAATTAAAAGTCTTCAACCTGAAAACCAAGCATGAAGAATTCCACCAAGGCAACATGTCAACTTTGAGATTTATGTATTCACTACCATCACTACAAAATATGAGCATGAAACACTTCACATTGCTTGGAACCTGGAAGGCTTTGCAACTAGACAACTATGCCTGCAGAAGAGACAATGCCATTTTACAAAGCCACATAAAAAGTCCTCAACTATGAGAGTTACAAGCAAACAGCATATAAAAGAAGCTAAAGACCCCATTTGATATTAACTATGTTACTGCAGCACATCAGGTATAAATAGCAGGAAAAGACTACTTACACATTTTTCAATACCACAGATACCTGTACAATTTCATCAGAAATGCATACCAATCCATTCAACTCTATCCATGAAAATGATATCCCTTCTCTACCTCAAAGGCATTTCAGAGCCTACCAATAATTACTCCAGCCATTTGAAATAACCATGGGGCACAAATTTAGTATACTCCCTACAAAATATACTAAGCAAGTTCAAGACACCCACTACCAAAGGGAGATAAAACAGGAGATATCTACATAATAAAATGCCAGGACGTCAAATGCCATCACATAGAACAAATAGGCAGAAGACCAGTAGTTGTCAAAAGATTTGGTTTAACTTCATTAATCCTCTTCTACTTAGGCAACCTCAGGCATAACTTCAATGTATAGGATAAAGATGACTTGATCATTCCAGCTGCATTGCCAAGATGATAAGGGGCAAAATATATTTTAAATCCACAATAATATTCAGAAGAGGCTCTGATAGGGGTCTAGGACAACTTGCTGCGGCCAATTTGCTGTGATGAACTCACCACAGCCAATTTACCATGGGACAACTCTCACCACAGGACAAGTTACACTAATATCAAAGAAAGGGTGGAATAGAATCATTAAAGGATGCAAAAGAAGGGACAAAATGGGAATGATAAAAAATAATTTTAAATTTTATTTTAAATAATTGAATTGTTGAGTTGTCCCACAGCGAGTTGGCCACAACGAGTTATCTGCGGCAAGTTGGCCATGAAGAGTGGACCATGGTGAATTGGCCACAGCAAGTTGGCCGTAACACATTATCCCATTCCGCTCTGATAGATATCTCCTAAATTCACTGCAGTGTAAGGAGGAAAGAGGTATAGCTCAATCAGACTTGCATGTAGTTTTAGCCATCCTGTGGAGCTTATTTCAATATTTGGTCTAATAGGGCTGAAAATTATGTAACGAGACCCATGCTTCAATATGACTTAACTCAATTGTATGCATTGACCCAGCAAACTGAAGTTATTAACTACATTGATCTGACTTACTCAATTAGCTTAAAATATAGTTCTATAGTTTAGTCCATTCCAAATGAATACAGAATGGGAATTAATCAGTAAAACATTATTCTGTATGTATGTATGAATAAAACTCAAGGCAACAGATATTTAACACTCTGCCACCTATTTTCCACCCTGGGAGGCAGGTTGGACTGAGAATGACCCAAAGTCACCCAGACAGCTTTCATACCTACCAAGGGATAGGATTCAATCTCCTGGCTTCTAGACCAGCACCTTAACCAAAACTCCAAATTGACTTTTTATAAAACATTAAAAGAAATCATACTTTGCTACCTTAGTACAGCGTGTGTGGGATGGTGCTGCATATGCAATCTGACTATTTGATCAGCAAAATAGGTAATGAATAGCTATTGAAGATCATTAGATCTAAAAAAAAAAAAACACTACAGGAAAAAGTATTTTAAGAAGTCTGAAAATCCAAATCTTTTTTTTCCCAACAATTCCACATCTAACAGAAAACAGTGTTACTTAGAAAACAAGTCTCGTGGCCAAATTAACATACTTAATATATTAACTGTTGAAGAGAAACCCACTTGAGCCTAGTCCAGGGTCCCCAACCCTCAGGCCACAGACCAGTACCAGTCTGTTAGGAACTTGTTGAGTGGTAGACAAGAGAGTGAAACTGAAACCATCATCCCCCTCCCCCCGTCCATGGAAAAATTGTCTTCTGGGAAATTGGTCCTTGATGCCAAAAAGGCTGTGGACCACCGGTCTAATCCATATAAAGATCTAATGTTTATTCATATCTTATTTGCAAATTGCTCTCCATACATTGTATGTTATTTGCAAGCACAAATAAGAAGCAGAAACCCACATCCAGTTTATAAACACGAGTGAAGTTACTGCTGCAAATATATTACACACCAGCAACTGCTCTTCCTTCAACTAAAGATCCCCTAAAATATCAGAGCTTATGTTGGAGGGGATACCTGAGCAAAGTTATGATGTACATGTGAGACAAAGAGCAAGTGACTCTCCTTATAGGTCTTCCAAAGAGTAGTCTTTGTAACATTACATCAAACTGTATTTAGCATCACCAATATTTTCATTTTAGTTTGTGGCATGACACCTGAGCAGCCTTCCTCAGCCTGGCTGCTGGAAGGCATGACCTTATCCAATCAGTCTGACAATTGTGTAGAATTTTGGGAGCTGCTTCAAACATTTGGTGGGTGTGGGGGGGGGGGGATAAGACTGCTGGAGTATAGCCCAATCTGGGCTGATGAGTGTGAGGAAAAAAAAAAAAGAGTGTTGGGACAGTTCAGATGGTCTAGTGACGTAAATCGAAACAGAAAATTATTATGGAAAATATTAGGGAATACTAGATTTGTGGGCAAAAATATTAGATATTGCCATAGCAACTAATAAAAATAATCCAGTTTTATGATCAGAGCTGAACAGCCAGTTAAATTCCAGCTTTTAGTCTTTCTGTAACTAAAGCCACATTACAATGTTCAACTTATTTCCCAACAGAAGGACTGACAAAATTATCAAAATACAATTTATTTTTAAGTGAATTGCTTACACAGTAGTTGTGATACAGTGAGGAGGAAGGGAAAAGAGATGGGAGGAGTTTGCTTTTTTTTTTACAATGCATGTTCCATCTCACTACTGGTGTAACAAACAATAGTTTAATTTGCATTCTCCATAAACAATACCACCACTACAAAACAGGACCGTGAACATGGGAGTAGGCGCGCACACACCCATCCTAATTGGCTTGCTCTATACATCTGTGTCAAAACTGCAGTCACGCATTATAATTCACAAAATACAATGCATCTGCGGGAGATCAAAATCACAATTAATGTAACACATACACATGCATACCCAACATGTTCTGGCTCTGTAAAAGCTACAGAAGAAAAATGAGGTATGAGAAGGTGAATAGAAATGATTTCTATTTCTGTGCAAGTTGCCTACTCTGTCATTTTAAACCTATTAGCTTGAGAAGTGCAGCTATCTAACAACCTTCAATATGAAGGACTCTGGATTGTTTAGGATTATTTTATTGTTGTGAAGAGCTATCCTTAGAAGGGAAAATTCTTACCAAACTCTACAACAAGCAAGCTAAGAGGATATTTTTTTCGTCTATTTTTACAAGGCAAGCTCATCAGACAGCCAACATTTATAGATTTAAGGCATTTCACAAGAGTCATTCAATCTCTCTTTAAGCAAAACAGTGTGCTCTTGGGGTATTTTACTGGGTTTTGTTTAAGGCACACCTTGTGTGTACACAGGATGGCAATCCCCTTGTGTAGGGAGTTGCCTTATGAAAGCAAAGTTAGTGTATTATAGAGCAAGTTGAAGGCAGAAAGGTGAAACAAAGTCTACAAATATACAGGGGCTTTTTTATAAATGCAGTTGCCACCTTTTAGTCTGTTCATGCTTGGATATTTCTTCCACATAGACCCAGCCTAGGACAGATACATTTAACAGGACTGCAAATACAGCGATGGGAAAACCTGCATCTGACATAATTCTATCAGTCCTACAGATTTTAAAGGTACGGATTATCTTTTGGGATACAAAGCTGGTAACTCAATTTCAAGGAAACAAAAGTTCTTTCTTACTCTTGCGAACTATTGAAATTTCTTTGGAGATATAAAGTAGGATTCCCCAATACTTCTCAACTACAGAACATCATCTTTTTTCCCTTTCTTTCTCAACCCTATCCTGTTGAAAGAGATACTTCTATGCCCCAAACCCAAACACTGAATTGTGTTATAGTCAATCTTTGTTTAGGTTGAATTCAAGTCTCAGGCTTCACAGTTTGGTATCTCTCTCAGTTCCCATTGCATTTTAAAGTAGGCACAAAGGTTTTTTGTGGCTATCTATTCAACATTCCCCACACAATCACAGCTTCCTAAGATCAGTACAAAAATATTTCTTCCCAACATCTCTCTTTTACATGTCCAGGCAAGTGATTAGAAGAAACAGAGTTTCATATATATGGAGCATACATGCTGTTCTTATGCTAGGCAACATTGTCATTGAATTGTCCCAAGTCTAGGTTGTAGCTAGAACTTTTGCTCTTTTAATTGAAAGATGTTAGCTTTTTTTAAAGTAGTCACCATGCCTTCCAACTTGGTTTGTTTATATTGCATATTAAGAAGCTGAAAATCAGCAATGTTCAGCCATTGATGTTAGAGGCCTCTGTGGATATATTTCATTCACCAATATGGAGAGGATGCTTCAACCGTGTTCCACTTTTGCCATTCAGGATAGAAGCTATTGGATATCTGAGAGCTGCCAAGTTGTTCACCCTCTGCTTTGTGCACTTTTCTTGAAGATTTGAGTGTTAGGCAGCCTTTCCTGGGTGATGTTGCCACTTGGACACCATCAGACTTCCATTCTGCATGGACAATCTTATAGTTTTGCCCATCGTTATTGTCCCAGAAAATGTGGTCACCATTTTGATAATACACACAAAATTCAATTTTTTGCTCAGTAGGAATGGCTGGAGGCAATTCGATTGCAAAGGAGAAAGTGTCATTATCTGAATCACCATATACATTGTTCATGTAGATGCAATCAGAGTCAGAATAGGTTTTCCATGAATCATAGGTAATTCGAATCTTCACCTTCTTTTCAAAACTCACATTTTTCACTTTCACAGTCCCAGATACTGTACTTTCTTGCAGGGTGCAATTTTCAAGACAGACAAAGTTCTTCTGTAAGTGACTCCGGAAGTCTAGGTAGTCAGCCGAAGGCTGAGTAAAACCAAGAATCAAGTTCTTTTCCTCATGTAATTTTAGGCCAGCTGTGATGTCTTCAAGATCTGACAAATCAAATTGGAGATCCCAGACTGGATTCTCCTGGAATTCAGAGAAGACATGGATGGCAGTCAGAGAGAGGCCTTTCGAGTCTGCAAAAACCACTTTCTTCTTGGCTCGGGCAGCAGAGTGTTTCCAGTCACTATTTTGGTGCTCAGTTTCACGTTTCACATTGAGGCATGATCTCAGAGGCTTTAAGCGATCCACAAAATTTCTTCTTTGATATTCATCAAGGGGGTTTAGAAAACTCTTCACAGGTGGTGAATGGGCCAAACATATTCTCATGGCTACATCTACAGGCATGATGGAACTGGGCAAAGGTCTTGGGTCCAAGACTTGTATCATTCTGCAATGGAAACATAAATAAGTGAGAGTTCTATAGCCTACAAGCCCTGAGGAAAAACTCTCTAAAAGGCTCTTTAAAACTTTAAATAATTCAGTCAAGTAAAATGTACCAGGACCATGACTAACAGCCAGAACTTGAACTGATAAGGTAACATAGCTCCATTCAAAAATGTTTGAATGAAATCCATGTGACATTTTGAGCTAACTAATAGTTTCTATAGACTATTTTAAAAGCCCAAAATATACATTTGCACATTTATAATACAGATCCTATTCCCTTATATACAAAACGCAGGGGAAGTGGGCGTGTCCAGTATTCAAAACAAGATTTATCAAAATCTGCTTTGAAATTTTACTTTGTGGAACTCTTTATGAAATTGACTGGCATTGTTCCAATGGTATTTTTGGTGCAGTCTCCTTAAATTTTATTCATTCACTTTCAGAAAAACTCAAGTAGTATATGGGTTAAAATCTCTAAATCAGCCTTCTCCTCCCTCAAGCACTTTTGCCTTCATCACCTACTGTAGTCTTTTAGAAAAAAGCTACAACTAACCACAATGTTGACCACAACGGAGTTTAAATTAACTTATGTTGAGTTTAGGAAATGTGGCTATCAGAATTTTCTAGAACCCCGATAAGTTTTCAGTCACACCCATTTAAAAAAGAAATGCCCTCTCTCAAGGCATGGTAGTTGGAACCCCCCAAAAAGAGGCCATTTGTGAATCGACACTGCCAGTATATTTTTTTTTTTTTAAAAAAACAACAATCTCCGACTTTGACAGGATTTACAAAAAGCAGCTGCGAAATTCGAAGCGGCGGAGGAGGGGGAAAAAAAGGCAGGCAATCCAAAAGCGGCCCTTTTTCTCCTTTCCCACCTTCTTTTTTTCCCCCCACCTCTCGCCGATTACATTTCACATTCGGGATCCGTAAAGTGATTTCTTTTTCAGGAGGAGCTTAAAAAGCAACCTCTGAAGCCGGCGTTGAAGTTAATTTACTCCCGGCCGCCGCATTCATACTTAAAAGAGCCGTATTATTATTATTTTTTTTTAACCCCGTCCTGGGAAGCGGGAGACAACAAGGTAAGCAACGAGTATTTAAAAAAAAAAAAAAGTTTATTGTCATCAAGTTGGCATCGCCACATCTCATCTGGACCCAACGCGATGCACCAATTTCCAGAAAGAGAAAAGAAAAAAAGAGCTTCGTCAGAATGCAACCTCTCTGCCCAAGCCACGGTCCCCCCCAAATTATAGCGCTTCGCCAAGGCTGCGCAACTCCGTCCCCTTTCGCTCCCCATGACGGAGCAAAAATTTAAAAGCGCCCCCCGCCATTCCCTGCAGGACCCCAAACTCCCCAAATTCATCTGCAAAGCCTTCTTTCCACCACCACCACCACCACCCACCGCCTCCCCCAGGGCTGCAGCCGTAGTTTTGTCCACCCCCGCTTTTTATTATTATTTCAGACTGACAAGAATTGGAAGGGTCCTTAGAGGTCTTCTAGTCCACCCCCGTCCACGCAAGAGCCCCTATTGCACCATTGCAGGCAAATTAGTTGCCCGTTTTTTTTAAATTTATTATTATTATTATTATTTCATTTCACGGCATCGCTTCTTCCTTCGGCTTGCAAAACGCTCTGCAACCCTTCCCTGGAGCCGCAGCTCTCTCGCTGGGCTTACCTGGTTACGGTTACGTTACATAGAAGCGGCGAGAAGAGCCTTCAAACTGCAAGAGAAGCGCTTGCAAAAACTTGGGAAAGGAGAGCCGAGCTGCTTCTCGGGGCGCTTAGCGAAGAAGCAGAAAAAAAGGCCTCCGCCTCCCACCTTCCCCGTTGAAGGCTAGCTTGCTGCCCTGCCAGCCAGCCTCCTTCCCTCCCTCCCTCCCGCTTGCTCCGCTACGGCTCCCAGCTCGCAGACGAAGCTCCCAGTCTCGGGCCCGCTCCGTCCGCTTATCAAACGCGGCGCTGTCTTTTTCACGTGAAAGCGGCCCAGCGACCAATCGCGTCTCGAGCTCGGCGCGCTCCGTGCAATCAGCGCCGGGCTGGCCCGCCAGGGGGAAACGTGATCGCTCCGTCGGCAGAGGTGGGATGGAGTTGGGGGGGGGGGAGAGAGAAGAGAGGCGGGGAGTGCATGCGGTTGTGTTGACACAGCTTCCAGCCGTCGGACCCCTTTTGCTCAGGCTCAAGGTCAGCCTCCGCCGCCGGCTCTCTCGCCTTTTCTAAATAGAGCCCTCATAGTAGCGGGATCCTGACACGGGATCCTTTGTCACTCATCGCTTTCCTAACCAGCCCAAATAGGGGTTGAATTATTTCCTTGCGTTCCCCAAGTCTGCCACCCTGGCTCCGCTTTCCTTTTGCCCATTGAATGCTATTTCTTACCGGCTATATATAGGGCTGCACAGTTGTAATCTATTTATATGAGGTTGCGGAATCCCCCAGCTGCTTCCCCTGGGATGTGAGAAAGAAACCAGCCGGGCATCCCTTGGTGTTAAAAGGAAAATAATACATATACAGGTAGTCCTCGAGTTACACAGCAGTTTGTTTAGTGACCGTTCAAAGCCGCAACGGCACTGAAAAAAGGGACATGGCCATTTTGCACGGTTAACAACCTTTGTAGCATCCCCATGATCTTGCGATCAAAATTTAAGATGCTTGGCAACTGACTCATTTATGAACTCTGCCCATCAGGTCACTTTTGCGACCTTCTGACAAGCGAAGTCAATGGGGAAGCCCGGTTCACTTAACCGAGTTACTAACTTATCAACTGCAGTGATTCATTTAACCATGGCAAGAAAGATCATAAAATGGGACAAAACTTGTTTAACAAGTGTCTCACTTAACAACAGAAATGTTGGGCTCAATTGTGGTTATAAATTGAGGACTATAAATTGAGAACGTGTACTATATCATGTTCATAATCTCCAGGCAACCTTGTCATTATCCGTGATGGATGATAATTATGGGCGCTGAAGTCCAGCACCTCGAATATCCAAAGCTTCTATAAAGGATCTGGTGCTTTGTTCTGCTTTCCATTCACTGTGTGAAGTGCCTTTTAATTGTTAGACATAGGTTTGCTTTCAGAAGGATTTTAGTAAACTCTTCATTTGTGCAAAAATCAAGTGTTAGGTGTTGAATGGTTTTCATCTGGGCTGACCTGAAGAATAGGGCACCTTTTTAGCTTCTGTCTGTTGTGCAGCTGTTAAAGGCCAGAATGAAGTAAGATTTGGTTTGATTATTAATGCACAAGCAAAATGCATTATCCACAAAAAAAGGAATTGGCTATTGTCTTTTAAATATTACAGTATTCATTAATCCATGACAATGTGGCCAGTTGTGAAGAATTATGGGAGAGTTCATCCAGAAACAGCCAGTTTACTCTACTAAGGCTAGAAACCAGGAGACTGTGAGTTATGGTTCCACCTTAAGCATGAAAACTGGCTGGTTTACTTTGGGCCAGTCACTTTCTCTCAGCCCTAGGAAAGAGGCAGTGGCAAAGCACTTCTGAAAAACCTGGCTTAAAAATAACTGCAAGGACTTACCCAGGCAGTCTGCAAGAATCTGGCACAATTGAATGGAAGAAAAACATCCAGAAATATTTGAAAACAATTTTAGTCCATTGGAAATACTGGCATAAAGGATTGCAGCTCAAGCTCATCTCCTAAATAGAAAGCCACTGGGATTGACACATCATGCCAAACCATGTGTTTACTGAATGTACCATACGTGGATGGATTGACACATCATGCTAGGCCAGAACGGCTCACTTTTCATAACCCAGTGAGATAAACCAAGCAAACCACATTGTGATTTAAACACTGTATGTGAATTAAGCTGATGATCATTATCAACCCTATCTCCAACATACCTGGGTCTTTGTTTTTTTAAAAAAAAAGTGATTCAAATTACAAAATTACAGTTAGTTAGGAACAAGCAGTGATTTGAATTCTACAACTTCTCAGAGCAAAATGATGAACCTGACATTCCTATCTACAGCAGAATCAGACCTGTAAAAACATGAAGCTGTGACTTTATTCTTTTGATGCTTATTTTAAAATAAATAATATTTTATCAAACTATATATTCTGCACTAATTCAATCCCAGTAATTAAAGTACCTCAGGGAGAGGAGGAAAAAGATATAGCGTTAATAGAAGATTTTTTTTCTTTTGCACCTTCTTTCATCCATATGTGAAAATTGCCAACATTTTTTTCCTTGCTGCAGTTATTAAAGACATAGTGTCTCATTCTTTTGAACATAAATAAGGAGAAGCAAACACGTAAAAACAGCTTCATATATGATGCCATGATGTATGCTTCCCACCATGAATACATAGAAGTCACAGCAATTCCCAAGGAAACACATATGTAAAAAATAGTCACAATCCATCTTTTTATCACTTGTACATAATTCACTCCAAATGCATGCACGATTAGCAAATAGCACTTAGACTTATATTCTACTTCATAGTGCTTTATAGCTCTCTCTAAGCAGTTTACAGTGTCAGCATATTGCCCCCAACAATCTGGGTCCTCATTTTACCGACCTCGGAAGGATGGGAGGCTGAGTCAACCTTGAGCTGATGAGAATCGAACTGCTGAACTCCTGTCTGTCTGCAGTCAAAGAATTAGCCTGCAGTACTGCATTCTAACAACTGCACCACTGCAGTTCTTAAGAATTCTTCATCAGTCCTCTTTCTAAGTAATGAAGCTTAAGCATATATTTATATTAGGGGACCTTTAATTCTTCTATTTTTGGAGATCTTAGAGCCTCTGTTCTGAACAGGGTTTTCTTTCTTTCTTCTTTTTGTTTGGATGACCTGCCAGCCCATTCTACTTTGATAGGTCCAACAAAGGAAAAATAACAGAGGTTGGTTACAGTACAAAGTTTATGAAAATTCTCCTACTAAACAAGTTCCTTTTGCCTCTCCTTTAGAACCCTGAAGCACCATGAGGAGTAAAGCATTAAAAATAAAGCATAAAGAGGAAAGCAACTGTTCTTTCCCAACCCAGTTAAGCAAACAGCTATCAAATACATCCACTCATTTTAAAAATAGAAAATATAAGAAGCACTGGTAATGTTTGTAGGGGCTTCCTCTAATATTTAAACAGTGGGTCTTTAAATACTGTGCATTTGTGAGAGGACTACCTCTTTCAGCCAGCATGAAATAATGCACGAGAAGTGCTAACATTTGTCTGTCTGGAGAGCCCCTAATAATGCATTTTTCCTTAATCTTATTTTGTGTTGGGTTTGTGAGCAAACATGAATCTATATACTCTGTGTGTGTGTGTTAAAAACTGCTTAAAGTGTGTGTGTGTGTGTGTGTATTTCTCCAAAAATAAGACCTATCCCAAAAATAAGACCTAGCATGTTTTACATGTGCGCATAATATAAGTCCTACCCCCCAAAATAAGCCCTACTTAAGAGCCTGTGCAGCCATCTGGCCACCTATTCCATCTGGTTGCTTGCAGTGTTGTGGCCACGAGGCGGGGGGATCTGCCTCACGCACCTTGCATCCAGGCCATCCACACTCCAACAACTGCCACATGGCGGCAGCACCAACAGCCATGTGCAGCAGGAATCCACATGGCCACAGGCCCACTTCTGCTTGCTCACAACGGAACAGGAGGCAGAGTGGTGGTGCTGGTGTTAGTGCCAGGCATGTGTTGGGGCATGGATGGCCTGGCTGTGGGGGCCCTGAGGTAAGCCAGTGCGTGGTGTGTGGAGTAGCTTCACCCCCCACCTCGCCTCATGGTCACGGCACCAGTGTGTTGCCCAGCGTCCTGCTCCATTGTGGCCACGAGCAAGCAGAAGAAGTGGGCCGGTGGCCACCCAGAGTGTTGCTGCATGGGGCTGCTGGAGCCACCTCTGCAAGGCGATGTAAGTGTCGGAGCATGGGTGGCCTGGCTGCAGGGGCCCTGAGGTAAACTGGTGTGGAGCATGTGAGACAGCTCCACCCATCCCCTGCCTTGTGGTGAGCGGCACTCCTGCTCCCCCCGAGCAAGCAGAAGAAGTGGGCCTCCTGTACATGGGGAAAAATAAGACATCCCCTGAATATAAGCCCTAGTGCTTATTTTGGGACCCCCCAAAAAATAAGACCTGGTCTTATTTTCGGGAAAACATGGGTATGTATCTATGTATATATACACTCTTTAAGCAGTTTTCATATATTCACTTTTTAAGCAGCTAAATATATATTTGTGTATGTGTATTATATATGTGTGTATTATATATACATATATTTAGCTGCTTAAAGTGTGTGTGTGTGCGTATTCATTCTTTAAACATATATAAACACACACAGACACAGACACATAGTATATAAATCCATGTTTTCATACACACACACACATTCACTCTTTAAGCAGCTAAAACTTCACCTACTAATGTTGACAGCTCAGTCACTGTTTAAATATATAAGAGGAGACCAGGTGTACCTTTAGAAAAATAACCAACTGTTCTGTGACAACTGTATTGTGTATATCAGTTAGTTATTTGAAGTTGCATGCATTCCCCCGCCACAGCCAGCTTTCTCCAACCTGATGCCCTTCAGCTGTGTTGGTAATACAATTCCTAGAAATCCTGGATAGTAAAGGAGATTTCAGACATCAGGGTGTATTTTGCAAAGTTTCCCATGTCCCAGAGGTATGCTTTGCCTGCTCAAGAAGCATTATAACAATTTGACTGTCAAAATATGAAGCCATTTTCCCCCCAAAACCACCAGTTTTGGAAACTTCAGTTTACTTATCCTTTAAAATAAATGCTTCATGGTACGAAAGAGTCCCAAGAACAGTATGTTAAAATGTCTGAATATTGGATATGGGCTGGCTCTGCCTACTCTCCTACAGCAGCTTTTGGTTGTCTCTCATGAAGTCTTTGAGCATTGACCTACAGCCTTCGTCTCTGGGGAAGCTCCAGGAATCACTTCAGTGCAAGCTGCTCTGATAAAATAAGCAGTTTCCGAATTGGGAGGATTTTCCTGCTCTCTGCTTATAACGCAGGATAGCCTTTAATTGCACCCATGGGAACAGCTAGCAGGAAAATGGATGGAAAACTTCCTGTTTGCACTCAGTGGAAAGTTTCATGTCAGTATTTGATATCTGGGTTAATCATCAAGAAAAAAAAAAGCTAAATTTAATATCAGGGCATTATCAGTTTACCAGCCCTTTGTTCAAAAGAAGCCTAAATTGGCTGCTGAAGATTAGATTTAATTTAATTTAATTTAATTCAATATATAGAAATGCCAGGGGATAGACATGGAAGGGTGCATATTTTCTTCTCACTGGGGACATTTTTGACTTAAACAGATGTTTGCAATTCGGCCATTGCAAGGCACTTACTATCTACGGGTCACCGGGTGGATCAAAACTCTGCATTTAAAGTTCTACTGTGCCACTGGAACTCTAGTTTCCTGCATTTTGCTGAGGCTGTTGCCATTAACCCTTGGAAGCCCACCTTATGCATGCAGAAATGGCTTTATGTCAATCTACATCTCCCGTGGGCGTAAGGGTTGCCATTGGTTGCTTTCCTGCATATGTTATAGGCTTAATCAATGCACTTGCTAGGTCTTATATTTGAGGCTGATTTTAACCGTATTATTGTAATGTGGGTACTGATGAGTCAATACGAAATACTTGCATCTACCTCTGTTCATCTAATTGTTTTAAATTTCCCTTCCTTTTATTTTCTACTATGAATACATTGTAGGGACATCTCAATTCAGTATTACAAGATTGGATGTTGCAGAAAGGCATGGGTGATAATTCCTATTGGATGATATAACGATGAGCAAGTGTTTTGACCATTTGAAGTTTGACCTAAGGCAAAGGATGTGTTGCTTCCCAATAGACCTGAATAAGAAGTCTTCTACCATATTTGGTTTGGTTCTTGTTTTTCCATGCATGTTGTATAAAGCTGAGCTCACACCACTAACCTTGAATCAAGGGACCAGATTCAGGCAAGCATCCCAATTTTGGGATGCTCCAACTTGCTCATTCACATGAGGTTGTTGCATTTATATAATAGTCTCTGTTGTACTTTTTTAAAAATCAGCACACACACACACAAATACATACGCCGACAACTTTAAAAACTGTTGTGACCAAGGCTTACTGAGTCATTACAAGACACAATTAGTCCCAAATAAACCTATTGTATTGTAACATCTGAGAATTATGTTCATTCCCAGCTGAGTCCCAATTAATTGCAAAACAAGTCCTTCGGAAGAAGTCTTTCGGGATAATCACCAACTTTATTTTCTTTGACACCCTGCCAAAGGCCTTACTTGGCAAAGCCCCACGAAGTTCAGAAACAAACAAGAGATGCCTATTGGAAACAAAGTTAGCAACATTGCTTTCCTGCAAAAGGCCCAAGTGCCTTTGTTTCTGTTTTAAACCTTATGGGAGGGGCCAATCATCTCCTGGCCTTACTCCTGAGTCATCCTGCTCTTGCCTTCCGGCAGCTCTGCGCATGCATGCACTAGGAACAGGCTCCTCCTGTTCCTCTGCCTCTCTGCTGTCCGACTCTGGGGGCTCCGGAGTCCGCACATCACCCCCAGATGGTCCTGGCCCCATCTCTGCCTCTGACGCAGAGCCCTCGTCCGGGCCTTCTCCAGACTCCAGGACTGGCCCATGTTCCTCCCTAGCCTCCTCACTGTGCGACTCCGCTGCCAGCTTTGCAGGCTGCTGGCGGACTACAACAAAAACAAACACACGTGCAACTTGTGATTTATCTGTTTTTATACTCTCTGTGCAGAGATTAGCCCTTGAGAATGAGTGGGTGAGTGACAAAGCCAAGAGAAGAACCAAAACTAGCAAATATCTACTTGACCTCCTATACAAGTTTTGATGATGTGGCTTCAGCAGCCCACAACTGCTACCACTCTGCAGCAGCCTACAACTGCCTGCCTAAGCCCAGTTGTACAGGTGGCAGTTAGTCAATGTGTCCAGGCTTGCTTCTGCCATCCTGCCCCTCCATCCCTAAGGCTGGGTTGTGAGAGTCAAATCATGTAATCCTTATATCACTCAATGCAATGGCTGTGAACAGAATAGAACAATGCAGTGAACAGAAATTTTAAATCATGTGGATTTGAAACACAGATATTGTGAGAGGAAGCCAGTTATACTTTGTTATGAAGTTTTGGCATTTGTTATGATATTGGGAGACTCTTCTGTTGGTCGCATGGAGGAGGAGCTGACTGGATTCTGATCATCTGAGACAGTTCTGTATGTTTCAAGGTGGCCTGGACTTAAGATCATTATTGGAAGATTTTAAAAAGGAATGGAACTGGGGAAGCACCTTCTTAAACCTGTTTTCAGCTTCCTGACTATCTACTCTTTTTCTCTCCCTTTGCCTGTTTTGAAAGCAAGCTTCAAGTTATTTGAGTGTAGAAAAGAAGATGCATATATTTGTAAATTGAAATGAATCCTAAACTGGTTTTCATTTATCTTAAACTAGCTTCCTTTGCCTTTTTGTATGATACCTCCTCCTCTATCTCCCTCTTGCCCTCACATCACACTTTTAATTGTGGAAAGTGGAATTGCTCATACTAAATGTCCAATTAATAGAAATAAAGCAGAATCTAGCATAAGAGCACAGCCTGAGTATAATGCAAGCATTGCTTCTTTTTTTAGCTCCAAATCTAATTTATCACTAGGGGAAAAAACAAAGAGAAACTATCTACTAGAACTCTGACCTGTAAATTCAAAAATTGTAAAAATGGCCTCAAAAAGAGACTGGTTTGCAATAGAGAGGAGCTGACAGGGAAGGGGATGTTTCAAAACATTTTCATTGCACCTAATTACAAGATATCATACAATTTGTGCTTAATCTTTTTTTTCTCTTTCCCAAAAACAAATAAGAATGGATAACCAAGGAGGCTGTATTTTTTTTAATATGGGAATATAACTTTGATGAATTCAGTGACTGCCATCGTATGTGTGGCATGATGTTCTGAAAATGAAGCATGTGGCTGAGATGGATAAAACATGGAAATGGAATTTGGAAAGTAAGACAATGACAACCAGAAGCCAACATGGGTTTGGCAAAACAGAGGATACAAAACAAATCTTATTGCATTCTTTGACAAAATGGACTAAATTAATGGACCAGTGAAACACTGTGGACATAGTATACTTGGACTTCAGTAAGGCATTTGACAAAGTAGACCACAACCTACTTCTATTATTCTGCTATTCTGTTATAATTCTCTTATTGAAAGTGGCTCACAAAACATATATGTATGCCACAGAGGTTATACATGAACAATGTGATAGTAATTATCAAAAAATGAAAATTGCATGGAATTTCATGAAAAATATTTATTGATGCTTTCTTTATGTTTTAATATCCTTTCTTTGAGTCTGCAAACTCCATCAAATAACATTTTATCTCCAGATTTTAATAACAGTATTTTTTTATTTTGGAGTCTAATGGCTGATAAGGAAAATAAAAATCCCTAAAAGAAAATTAATTATAATCAGGTCTGAAATGTCTAAAACATAATTCAAGATTTTAAACAACTTTCTTTTTTTTAAGCAACCTTCTAATTTTTTTCTAAGCAATGTTTTGTAGGCAGCACAGAATCACCTATGTGTGATTTGGTTGGCTATAGAAATTTGTTTAATAGATAAATAATAAAATAATAAATTCTTTGTTGGCTTTACAGAGTAATGTCTAATATAGTTAAAGTAGAGAATGAGGCTAAACACATCTGTGGTGAGCTGTTTGTAGTATAGCCTTTATTGTCACTGTATATCATGTATACAACAAAATGGTAGTTTGAATGCTTTTATTGCTGCTTACTTCTGACTCGCAGAACAAAAATAACCAAGGCAAACAAATTTTGCATTATCATTTGCAAAATTCTGCCTTGGTTTTCCATCAGGCTAGATTTTCACAAAGTGTTCTTTCAAGTAGAAAATGCCAGGGCAGTAGTATATTTCTTCCTCCCAGCTCCATTTCTGTCACTCTGTTTACTTTCAGTTCAGAGCAGAGTTTGGATGTAATTTGGATCACTTACTTTAGGTGCAGAAATATTTTGAAATTTGACTTCGGTGCTAAATTTGATGGTAGGATTTTCACCTGACTACAGTTCAACTTGAGGACTGTGTGTTCTGGGTGAAGGACATTGGAAGGAATTGCAGCGATCCAGAATCAGCACAAGTATGGAATATGACAGGCTTTCGGGAACTGAGGACAGCATGACACTGGCAAGCAACACAACTAGATTCCAAAATTAAGACTTACCATTCCTCAGACTGCAAATAAAAAGTACAGCTTGTAATCGATAAATATGCCAGGCCCAAGGGTAGGGTTGAGATCTTGAAAAATGAAGGGTTCTTTCTACAGCTTTATCCTGAAGCAATTAAAATAGGGGGGGGAGATTAATTGAAAATAAAGGGGCGTGATGGCTCAGCGATTAAAGATACTGAGCTTCTCAGCTGGAAAGCTGACAGCCTGGTTTTGAGATCCGAGCACCGTGTCAAACAGGACCACTGGGGGAGGTCCTGTTACTTGCCCCAGCTACTGCCCACCTACCAGTTTGAAAAATGTAAATGCAAGTAGATAAATAGGTACCACTTTGGTGGGAAAATATCGTTCCATGCGCCTCGGCATTTACTCATGCTGGCCACATGACCATGGAAATGTCTTTAGACAATGCTGGCTCCCTCAGCTAAGATACGGAGATGAGCGCTGCCCCCTAGAGTCAGACACAACTGGACAGGGGGAACCTTTAGCTTTACCAAAGGTTGGAACCAGTCAGGCAGCTAAAGTTTTTAAAATCTAGATTAGGGGTGTCCAATCTTGGCAACTTTAAGACTTGTGGACTTCAACTCCCAGAATTCCCCAGCAAGTTGCCAAGATTGGACACCTCTGATCTAGTTCTTCCCAACAAAAGAATAAAACACTATTTTTTTACAAAAATGAGATTCCTCTGAAGGGCAATTTTGTCTGAATCCAAATCTTGCATACAACCTTCGTATTTTCAGTTTCTTCCCAGTTTTTAATCTTTGTTTGTTTTATTTTCCTTGCATACCTTGTCTTTGTTTATAAAACAGCAGCACTCTTTTTATGTTAATTACAAAATGCCTTTTATAATTATTTCTGAACCATAATTTAAGCAATCTTTCTGTCGATATATTATTAATATTGCAATTAAACAGCTGTTATTCCATTTTTTAAAGTATTTTCCTTCACGCATTACAAATACAAAAGGTTTTTTCTACTTATTTGTTCTTCATTTTCCAGCTGAGAACACTCAGAGTAAGGCATCTCTGTTTTCCAGTCTCTATTAATTTCTGTAGGAATTGATATTTTGCATGACAACTTTTCTGTATGTTCTAAAGCAGCGATTCCCAACCTTTTTGGCTGCACGGACCAGCGGTGGCACATGGCAGTGGCGTGGGAGTAGGGGATGGATTCACACGCTCCACCTAATTCCGCACATGCGCAAATGAAGCTTCCTTGCTCACTTGCCATTTGCACGGCCTGGTTCCCAACCAGCCACGGCCCGGTAGTGGGCTGTGGGTTGGGGGACCCCCATTCTAAAGTACGGTAAATCATGTTTCCTTCAATTTCATCAAACAAGTAAGTAGAGGATTTTATCTAGTGAAATTGCCAAAAATACACACATTCCCGATTGGCGAATAAAAGATCATGCAAAGCATCTTATATTTAAACCCTCAACAAGGCATCTTTGGAAGGCTCATCTTTCCAAAGGCACTCATGTGACAACCTTGAATCCTATATGTTTTTTTAAAAAAGAAAAAGCTTCGTTTTGTCAGTTACACAGTCTGAAAAGTGATTCATGGAAGGCTGAGGTAATAAGAGATGAAACATTATCAACCAACTTTCAAAGAAGGTGCTTGATGACAGTCTACGGAGTTCATAGCATCTGTTCAGAAACATAGAGACGTACGTGAGCTCTTTCTGCCACCTAGTTGACAGGTGTCTGTCAAATCCCTTTTGGAAGGCTCCCAGCAGAAGAAAAATTACTCACCCGAAAGTCCCGGATTGAGTAAAGGCAAAGTAACAGGGTGACACAAGGACACAAGTCTATTACAGCTGTTAGTGCCAGTAATGTTCTGTTCATAAATAGAGGACTCTGCTCCGTTGCGTTAATGTTGACACCTTTTGCTTTAAGGGGGAAAAGGTAACAAAAAATAAAGAAACATTGCTATTTTGATTGTAGAATAGGTTTAAAGGAACAAGTAAAGTGAGTATTCTTTATTGTTCTTCAAAGGAAAAGAAAAGAATGATGGCATTTAGAAATCCAATATGGATTTCTACTAAAACGAATGGTCTCTCTCTTTTTGGCTATTGTTATTTTATTTGACTTCAGTATTTTTATTGGAGGTTAATGATCTGCACTAATCTTCAATAAATGTTGACCTTTAATGGTTAAGCTCAAATTTTGCACTCAAATTTCCAGTGCGAAATTAAAATGTCATTTTTTTAAAGTTATGAAGTGCAGACGTAGCACATTACAAGTCAACATCCAGTGGAATATTTTCTTTTCATTTGGCCTAATTTCCCTGGAGGAAATCCAGCCACAGCAGCATGATGTGCAAGTACTCTTACAGACCTAAAACTTTGCACCAAGTTGTACCTTTTTAAAAATTTTGTATAGGGAAATCTCCTTTTTATTCCAAAGCTACAAAGCAAGAGAATTGTACATTGAAATCATCTGCTCAGTAAAATATTTCGTTTTTGTCATCATTTACAAAAGGGTCATAATATTCTAAATTTCTAAATGGATTAAGCATTACAGTGGTTGTAAATGAAAAGACGCTGCTTAAAAGAATGGATAAATCAAAAAGGCTATTCCTATAATAACTGACTTATTATATAGTATAGATTTGGAGTGGCCTAATGAGAGCAGGAGACAAATGGCAGATGAGTTAAATTGGGTCTTCTTGACCTATTTCTTCTAGGATTTATGTCTGCCTAGGCTTTGTATAATAAGAAGATAATGAGGAAATACAATCATTCTGATGAACTAAGACTTTTGAGGAATGGTGGACTGTACAAGCTTGTTTTAGATCACTGGGAGAGGTTGTGTCCGTATTACACTGATAAAGTTGCTCAAATTTAGAGTCCAACAGTCTAGACACTGCATGGACAAAGCTCAGGAAGGTGATTACAATAACATATTGCAAAGTTACCTGGGATTCTTTTCAGGTTGACTATTCCAGGAAAGAGAATAAGATGCACTGTTTCTTGTGGATTGGATAGATGTCCCACCTGATTCCTTTGAGAAGCTGGTGAGAGTGTGGATCCGGGAGAAAGTCAAAGTCTCACTAGTAGAAACCGATTTCCTGGCCATCTTGAAAGAGGTGGTGATACATTCACCTTGTCTGAAAAAGCCTTCCATAGGCCTGCTCACTTTGAGTAACAATTGCCCAGATTGCAGTCTTTTCTTTTTAGGGAAGATCGTTGAAAAACTACTAGAACAGCAACTTTGGAGATAGCAAATCTTTCCATCAGAGTTCAGGTCTACATGTAGGACAGAATAGTTAGTCTATTTGACTAATTTTGCCAGGACCTGCAGGGGGAAATGTACATCTTTGGTCAATTTAGATCAATCAGTAGATTTTGATATTTTTTTTTAAATCAGAGCACCTTTTAGGCTGCATATGAGGGTTGAGAACTGGGGACAGTCTATTACAATGGTTCTACTCCTTCCTGGGTGGATGACTTTAGTTGGTGGCTACAGATTAGGAGAAATCAGCTAGTGGTTGCTCACAAGTGTTATTTGATGTGATTCGCTTCTTCAGTCTTAGTCTTCAACATCTATTTGAAGTTGACTGGGATAAGTCATCTTCAGCATGAGGTCATATCTGTATGTTGACAGTATTCTAGCATATATCTTTATGAGGCCAGTCTTGTGATGTAGTAGATAGAAGTCTTGATTCTGGAGGGTGTGAATGGGAAGGAACAAGCCAACACTGAATTCCTGGAAGATGGTGTTGCTATTTTCCACAAACTGTCTGACTTTTGCTTTATTCTGCTTATTCAGGACAAACTGTAATCCCCCTGAAGGAGCAGGTCTGCAACCTGAGGGTGATTCATAGCTAATACTTGATCAGCAAGCAGAGGTTATAGCTAGGGGAACTTTTGCCAAGTTTCTACAGTACTGAGATGCCAAATGCAGCACTTCCTTGAACATGAGGCCTTAGCTGTAGTAGCCTATGCCCTCTTGGATAGATTACTGCAGTGTGCCATCCATGGCTCTGCCTTTGAAGACTACCCTGACGATTATAATTAGTAACAAATGCAGTGGAATTTTTCTATCTTATCAGAGTAATTGTAGTCACATAACTCAAATTTTGTAGGCACTCTACTGCCTACCAGCAAGTTTTCAAGTACAATTAAAAGTGCTGGTATTAACTTCTAAAGCTGTTTATGGCCTAGCACAAAACATATCCAGGACCATCTTCTTATCCCAGTCCATCCCAAATGGGGATGTCGAGAGTCCACCTTAACATGAGATTTAATGAGCAGGCCCAGAAAACAAGAGTTTTCTTTGTTGACTCCGTCCCGGTGGAAAAGTCTACAGTATTTAAGAAGACGGTGAAGTTAGCGTTGCTTCACAGAGAATTTAATCTGTAATTTAAACTGTAAAGTTGCCACCGGTGCTGAAGGTGGGTGGATGGTTTATGGATTTATGTATTGGTTCTATAATTTTATGGTTACATTGTAAGCCACCAGGAACCTTTTTTTGAAATCTGGTGGTTTAAACATTATCAACAAACAAATCAATGAACGATTGAACAAATGTATAAGCGAATAAATAATAACTTTACAGCATCTCTCATCATGGTCACTGCTGGCATAGCTCCTAGGAGCTGGGAGAGCCGCAGGTTTCCAATTCCTATTAATAGAGTTAATGTTAATATCTAGCCATTAAATAGTATGTATATAATATTGTTGCGTGCCATATTCTTATTATAGGACTTCTTTTTTTTTTGTAAGCAGGCTGCATGTTTTTTGAAAGCATGTAAAGTTAGAAACAATTGTATGCAAAGATCCTCCTGCAAAAAAAGAGCTGAATTCTCAGAAATTGCAGCATACTGTAATTCACCTTCAGTATGAAATATATAGAATAGTTTTAGGTAGTCCATGAACTTGCAAATCATATTATGGAGCACATCTTCCCAGATGAAGGTATTTTTCCTGAACAAAGATACAATATTTTTGTTCTCAATCTACAAAGGATCATTTTAAAGACTTGTAACTCCAGCCCCTTTCTGTCATCAACCTACGTAATTGACCCACTTAAAAAAATTGTGTGTTTTTTAAACGGATTAAAGTGTTTGTATGTTCATGTCTGTTAACAGATGGCTAATGGTTTGT